ACAGGAATTGTCTAGACTAGACTCTAGTGAAAGTTGCCTTATCTAGATTCCTCGATGAGATTGTCCTCAGCTAAACCCGTTTGCTTTCTTCTCCCTTTTTAGGTTTTCTGTTTGAGTAACTGAAAGTTTGTCTTTTCTCCAGTCTTCATTTTCTACTTAAAGTTGGAAGTTTTCAGTTCGTGATTAAAACCTTAGGATTGGATATGTAGCTCAATGGAGGCCCTGGATTTGGGTGGCACAACAAAGCCTGTGCCACTTTGTTTCATTTAGTGGCACCAGGAGATAATGTTAATGGTTAAATGTTAAAGTCTGATGCTTAGTGTAAATTTGGAACCAGTATTACTTAGCTGTGGGATTTAATATAATTGGAACGGTACAGTAGCTGGCTGGGATAATATTTAAAATACTATAGGTACCATATCCTGAGTTCTCTATTGGATGCCAGGTTTTGTGCTGGCAATGCTTATTACAATGCTTGGAACAAGTTGTGGTTGTCTTCGTTTTATGTATGAGGGGTTTGTTTTTTAAGTAGGATAAACTAGGTGTTGTAGTTCATGCCATTAATCCTAGCACCTGGGAGGCAAAGACTGGTGGATCTGTGAAACTCTTGTCTCAAGAAACAAACAAAAACTTTAAAGATGGGCTGGGCCTTGGGGGGGGGGGCAGGTGAAATGGATCAGTGGTTAAAGGAGCTTGCTGCCAAGGTCATGCAGATGATATAAAGTGAGAATATAAAGTGGAGGAAAGAGAGAACTGACTCTCACATTGCCCTCTACCCTCCACATATGCATATGTAATGCTAAGAAAAAATTGTTTTATAAAATACTGAGGAGAAAACCATATTCAAGGTCACATAACAGAGCTGGGTTGCAGGCTCCTAAATGGAATTTTCTCACTTTTTTGTTGTTTTTTTGCTTGTTTTTCAAGACAGGGTTTTTCTGTGTAGCTTGGCTGTCCTGGAACTCTGTACCCAGGTTGGCCTTGAACTCAGAGATCCATTTGCCTCTGCATCCTGAGTGCTTGTATTAAAGGCCTGTGCCACTAAGGCCAGCTTTATTATTATGTCAACCATAAAACATTTTTTTATCCTTGTTTTGTTTGTCTTCTCAAAATTCTTAAATTACCTTGACATCTTTACAAGTGAAAATGGACTTTTATTACATTTTGTTTGTGTGTGTGACTGTGTGCACATGAGCAAGTAGGATTCAGAGAACAGCCATGTGAAGTTGGTTCTCTTTTTCCATATGGGACCATAGGATTGGACACATAGTCATCATATTTACTGGCAGGCACCTTTACCTGCTAAACCATCTTGCTGGCCCAATTTATTTTTTTAGAAGACAATAATAGAAACATAAAATGGATATAAATATTTGTCAGTGATTTAAAATCTTGTGTATTGATCAGATGCCACAAGAAGTATCCAGGGATGGTACTACTTTTCTATTTAAAAACTTTTGAGTCTGATTGAAAATTAACCATTGAGCCAAATATGCCCAACCTTAGTGACAAGTAATAGAAATTATCTACTTTGTTCTCTTCTGTTTCATTCTTAGTAGTCTTTAGAATGTAGGTTTGTGTGGTCAGCCAAGTCTACTAGGTACAAAGGTTAATAAAATTTTTTTCTTAACCATAAAAGAGTGAGGCTGAAGTTCTTTAATTTTACATGCTAAGAAAACATAAACATTAAGTCATGTTTTCATGTCATTAAGTAGTCCCTAAAAAATTTTAGGGCGGTATGATGCCGAATGCCTTTAATCTCAGCACTCAGGAGGCACAGGCAGGCATATCTCTGTGAGTCCAAGGCCAGCCAGGGCAGTTACACAGAGAAACCTTGTCTCAAAAAACAAAGACATCCCTAAAAAAAACTTCAGAGCTGGGTGTGATGGTGTAAGCCTTAAATCCCAGAACTTGGGAGGCAGATCTCTGAGTTTGAGACCAGCCTGGTGTTCATAGAGAGTTGCAAGGTTTCACAGTAGAGAGGCCCTGCCTCAAAACAACAAAAACAAGGTCTGGAAGGATGGTTCAAAGGTTAAGAGCATATGCTGTTCCAGAGGATAGGCATTTAACTCACAGCAACTTGTAACTCCCAACTCCAGGGGATCTGATACCCTACTTCCGTGGGCACCTGCACTCACTTGCATATACCCCCCCCCCACACACACACACACAGACACTTTTAAAAAATCTTTGAAGATTACACAGCCTTCTATTTCAAGGACATGATGTAAAATTTTTTTTCTGGATAATATTCAAGCCTTCTCTTATATAAAAATAGAAAACTAGCAGATAAATATTTTGATATCTTTTCTATTTTTAATCTTGCCTTCCCGTCTCCCTTTTGCACGGAAATCCTAGAGATTTGAATCTCAGAGATACACCTTGTTCTTGTTTTTATTTTTGATTCTTTTAATATTGGTTCTGGAAAGTAAAAGATGTGTGTTACGGCATATAAACTTAATTTTAAAAGACATTTGTAGGCATAATGCTATTGTGCACTATGTAAGGATTCAAATGCTGATTTCTTTGGTACCCTGTATCTGGTTGCAATCCCTGTTCTGAGAATCTCCTGTCTCAATGTTGTGTGAACACTGCTCCCCAATTGTCCCCTGATTCATCAATAAAGAAGCTTAAGAACCAATGACTGAGCAGGGGAGAGAATAGGGCTGGACTTCCTGTCAGCCAGGGAGGAGTGGAGAAAGAGAAATGAAGTGGGGATTCAGCCATGAGGGGAGGTCCCAGAGATATGAGAGAACAGCTGGAGCAGAGAAAGCCATAAAATGCAAGTATCTCAGGAACTTCTGGCTGGGAGGTAGCCAGATTAGCTTAGAGGGTTAATTATTTGGGTATTAGCCAGGTTAAGAAAAAAACTGCAATATAATTTTAAAATAACCACTAGAAGACATCTTTTCCCAAGTTGTTTTTCTTGTACTAAAGAGTTCTTGAGAGTCAGGGGCTATTATCCACTAGCGAGTGGGAAATCATGTGTCCTAGCTAACCATTCCTTCGGAGCTTTTGCTGTCTGTTATGACTATGGTAATACAATTTTTCGAGACAGATAGTGAGCCTAACCAAGAGCAAGTGGGAATCCCAGGCTATATTATGCTTGCCTTCTTCCTTAAGGTGGCTCAGCAGGTAAGGGCTCTTGCTACCAAGCCTGATGCCATAGTTTTGATCCCTGGTGGAAAGAGAGAACCAACTCCTGCCAAGTTGTGAGTATCGTGGTATACATCTACACCTTCCAAAAATAATCATTATAGTAGCTAGCACCAGAGTTTCCTCTGAACTGTTCTATCACCCACTGCATTAATATACCTTGCCTTCTCCCTTAACTTCCATAGTAGCTTAGTGAGTTAAGTAATGAATAAGGAAACAGGTTTAGAAGTAATAACTTTCTCAGCAGCTTGTTTCTGTTTAAACTCCAGGCTGTGTGTTTGGTTTGGTTTGTTTTTTCAAGACAGGGTTTCTCTGTGTAGCCCTGGATGTCCTGGAACTAGCTCTGTAGACCAGGCTGGCCTCAGAGACATGCCTGCCTCTGCCTCCCAAGTGTTGGGATTAAAGGCGTGCACCATCGTCACCTGGCTAAACTCCCGTTTTTATCCTGTGTTGTTTTTATTTTACCTTGACTGTTAAAGGAGTTCCCAGAATCATATATCATGCTCTTGAATTCATGGAATGGGCCAGCGGGTCATTCTATGGCTTCATTTTAGAATCCTTACTAATGTTTGTCTTACCTCTCAGGGTCATTCCTCTACAGAAGAGGCTTTGAGTTCTACTGACCTCCAGCTTGAAAGCCTGTCATCAGATCTCATGCTGTCCTGCTAAGTGGAAAGTTTTCTTACAGGCAAGTTAGCCTTAAGTAATTTCTACCTCTTTGTCTCTGGACATATATATTATACTACATTAAATAATATAATAATATATGAATATATCCGTTTTATATTTATATATGTATTTAAATATGTATTTGATTTGTCTTTAGTACTTTGCTATTATATATTACATATATTATACTGAGAAAAAGAGATTTAAGTATACCTCACAGCACAGTTGATAATATTTAGGCAAACGAGTTCTCTATAGCAGCCCAGGATGACGTTGACAACCATGGTCATACAAATTTTAATAGAGTTAAAATATAAAGTTAAATTGGCTGGTGGTGGGACACACCTTTAATCCCACCACTTGGAAGGCAGAGGCAGGTAGATCTCTTGAGTTTCAAGCCAACCTGGTCTACAGACTGTGTTTCAGGGCAGCCAGGGCTACACAGAGAAACCCTGTGTAGCCCTGTGTAAAAATTAATTACAGATGTCAAAAGAAAGTAGTAAACATTAACTAGAATGTAAATTAATAGAATCTGATTATTATTTTATTAAAATAATAAGATATAGTAATATGTAAGTGTCTTTCAAAGGTCTGACATTTACACTTTATTATGCATATCAATCTTTCAGCAGCCCTGTAAGACAGATGGTGATACTGATAAAAATACTGAGTTAGAGAGCTGGGTGTGGTACACACCTTTAATCCCAGCACTTGAGAGGCAGAGGCAGATGGATCTCTGTGAGCTTGAGTCCAGCCAGGTCTACAAAGCTAGTCCAGTCCAGCCAAGACTACAAGAGAAACTGTATCTCAAAAAACAAAAGAGAAGAAAGAAAATATTGAGTTATTTTTCATTATACCATCTGAGTACTTCTAAAGGTTTGAGTTATCAGCCAGGTAGAAAATCAAGGGTTTTTCAGTGCTGGAAAGAGAAGACTGTAAAGGATATAGTGATTAGGCTTGTCTGTGTTTTGAGAATTACAGTGCTGTATTTAAGTATATGGAATCACTCCCTTTTTTTTGTTTTCAGGTAGAAGCATACATTCTATTTTTAAAAATTTGAGTTTAGCTTTTAGGTATATTAGACTACTTTTTAGTTGTTTTCATGTGGACATATATGCTCTTATTTAAAAGAAATGAGTGTAACCTTAAGTATACTGAATCTCTTTTCTTTTTGTTTCAGTGAGCGTGAATGATCTTACCTAAAAGAAATGAGTGCAGCTAGTGCCGTGTTAAGAGTTGAAACCTGGCTTTTGGCAACATGGCATGTTAAAGTGCCTCCAGAGTGGCTGGAAGCTTGTGTTAACTGGGTCCAGGAAGAAAGTAAGAATGCTAATTTGAGTCAAGCACAAGTAAATAAACAAGTGTTGGAGCAATGGCTTCTTACTGACCTGAGAGACTTGGAACATCCTCTCCTACCTGATGACATTTTAGAAATTCCAAAGGGAGAACTGAATGGATTTTATGCTCTACAGATCAATTCTTTGGTTGACGTAAGTCAGCCTGCATATTCCCAGATACAGAAGCTGAGAGGAAAGACTACAACTAACGATCAAGTTTCAGCTGAAACACAGATTACTCTAAAACCATGGGAAGCCAGGCCGTCAAGGATGCTGATGCTGCAGCTCACTGATGGCATCACACAGATTCAGGGAATGGAATACCAGTCTATTCCCACTCTCCACACTGGTCTTCCTCCGGGAACAAAAATTCTGGTTCATGGACGCATTTTATTCCGTCTTGGTGTTCTCTTATTGAAACCAGAAAATGTGAAGGTATTAGGAGGTGAGGTAGATAATCTTTCAGAAGAATACGCTCAAGAAAAAGTACTTGCAAGATTAATTGGTGAACTGGATCCTACAGTTTCAGTCGTACCGAATAATTCTGATCACAACATGCCCAGAGTTCCAGGGGATTTAGATGCTGATTTAGGACCTTCAGATGAAGAACTCTTGGCAAGTCTTGATGAAAGTGAAGAACCTGCAGCATATAATAGTGCATCCATGGAAAGAAGATGTTTCAGCACAGGCAGTTCCTCAAATACTACTCCCACAGATCAGTCTAGTTTTGAGCCAAGGTGTAATATTTCTTTAAGGCAAAAGGAGAAACCACCAAACCAGTGTATGAATTTCACTGATGGAGAATTTGATGACTTTTCACTGGAAGAGGCCTTGCTTTTAGAAGAAACAGTCCAGAAAGAACAGATGGAATCAAAAGCATTGCAGCCACTAACTCTGAAGAAAAACACAAATAACATAGAGATATTTTCACATCAACCTAATACTGAGAACCACACAGCTTTGATTCATAAACAAGGAAACAGCAACTGTGGTGAAAAGAAATTATCTGAACAGACGATTCATGGAGACAATGTTTTTGCCTCTCCATCTGCTAGAGACCATCATAAGAGACTCTTGGCCCATGATTTTACAAATGACAGTAAGATTTTTGAGGTAGATAATACAACAAAACAAACCATCAACAGTTCAGATGACCATTGCCTAAGTAATATGTTAAACAGAAAACTGGGAACCTATCTATCAGAAAAGAGTTCACAAATTTCTAATGAAAATGGCTCCCCTTTACAGGCTTCTTCAAGATCATTTGAGAATAATACTGATCTATCTATTGGCATGGACTTATATTCTCCACCCTTTATCTATTTGTCTGTTCTAATGGCCAGGAAGCCAAAGGAAGTTATCACTGTGAAAGTCAAGGCCTTTATTGTCACTTTAACTGGCAATCTCTCAAGTTCTGGTGGCGTTTGGTGTGTAACTGCAAAAGTTTCTGATGGTACTGCATATCTAGATGTAGATTTTATAGATGAAATACTTACCAGTATGATAGGATTTTCAGTATCAGAAATGAAACGATTAAAAAAGGATCCTCCTAAATATAAAAAATTCCAAGAAGGGTTACAAAAATGTCAGCGAGATCTGATAGATTTATGTTGCCTAATGACTATTTCATTTAATCCTTCAGGTAAAGCCATGGTAGTAGAATTGCAAGATGTTGGCATGGAACACCTTGAGAACCTAAAGAGGCGTTTGAATAAATAATTTACCAAAATACTGTTGGAGTACACTTTAAAACAAATTTGGAATCAAATTTCATATTAAATTTCATATTCTTGTTTCAGGATTCTGTAAAAGACAAGAAAGCTTCAGAGCTTAAAAATGGGTGAGATGTCTCAGTGGTTAAAGGGCACTCTGACAAGCTTGGTGACCTGAGTTTGATCCCCTGGGCCCTTGTGGCTGAAGCAGAGAACCACCTCCCAGAATCTGTTTTTCAGTCCTCTACACATGTAGCACGGGACACACAAATGATATTTTAAAATAAAGGTGTTTAATAAAAATGTATGTGTCAGGGTATATTTGGTGATTCTGGGCCAGGGCCTTGTGATGCTAGCAAGCCTCTACCAGAAAGCCACATCTCTAGACCCTTTTGGTTTTGTATTTCCCTCCCTGGAAACTGGGTCTTTTATGCCCAGGCTGGCCTCAAGCTCTCTTGTTTAGTTTTCAGTGACCTTGAGCTTCTGGTCCCTTGCCTTTACCTTCCCAAGTGCTAGGATTAGGGTTATGCAGTTTTACCTCATACACAGGCTTAAAACCAGGGCTGTGCATGCTAGGCAAATACTCTACCAACTGAGCTATATCCCTAGTCGTCCTTGAAAGATTTTGCTGAGAAACTTGTTTTCCACTTGTCATTGAATATAGTAAGATAACTGATAAAGAATTGTGATGGGCTGACAAAATGGTCTGGAAAAGGTGCCTGCTGCTGAGACCAGTGACCTGATTCTGTTCCTGCTGCCACACGGTGGAAAAGAACTGTCTCCCACAAGATGGCCCCTGACTTCCACATGCATGCCATAGCATATGTGTGGGTCCTTTCATGCACACAGGTGCACAGAATGAAATAAATTGGGCGTGGTGGCGCATACCTGTGATCCTGGCACTTGAGAGACAGAGACAGGTGGATCTCAGTTTTGAGTCTAGAAAGTAAGTCCAGGACAGCCAAGGCTACACAGATACAAATGTGATGTTTCCCCAGTGAGATACATTATTGAAAGTTAGAAATTAAAAATGAGTACCTTCTCATGCTGAATATTTCAAAAAATTTATACTGTGATTGAGATGTCTTTATGTATAGTTAGAGAACAACCTGTGGGACTTTTTTTTCTCCTACCATACAGGCTTAGCAGCAAGCACCATTTACCTGCTGAGCTGTACAACTGGCCCTATCACTTGAGGCTTCTGATCCTCTGAATTCGCTGTGTTTAAAAAGTTATATTGCTGTAGTTTTGTGTTGTTTTTGGGTTTTTTGTTTTGTTTTGAGACAGGTTTCTCTCTGTAGCCTTGGCTGTACTGGAATTGCTTTGTAGACCAGGCTGGCCTTGAATTCAGATTGTTGTGATTGTTTTAAAGAGATACACCTTCATTTTGCTGTTAGTAGATTATGTCTGGGAGGTGGAAGTTGCTTTTATTAATCTTATAAATGGGGGTGGGGAGCTGGAGAGATTTCTTAGTAGTTAATAGTTGATTGCTACCTTTCTAGAGAACCCAAGTTTGGTCCCCAAGATGGGCTTCTGAGCTGCCAGTAACTCCATCTCCAGAGGACTTGACATTCTCTTTTTGAGATGAGTTTCTCTGTGTAAACCTGGCAGTCCTGTAAGCTGCTTTGAAGATCAGGTTGGCCTTTGCCGGAGTCCGCCAGCAGAGTCGAACAGTTCTTGAGTTGGGAGTGAGGATTAAAATTAATAAACTAACACACAACACACTTGGGACTTTTCCAAGAGGCCCCGGACTCGACCAGCCAGCAGCAGCCTGACTTTATTGCAGTGAGCTTCTAAGCCAGAGTAAAAACAGCTCAGAACAATGGGTTAAATTTACAAGAAGGTGAAGAAAGAGGTGTGATCTTCACAAGCTATCTCACCTGCTGTCACAAACAAAAGGAGATGGACTTGCAAATTTTTCCCTCACTTAAGTGAAAGCCTGGTAAAAGCAATCTTTCTGCTGAGATTTAAATATCAAAGCAGCTGCCAGAGCAACGGCTCCAGACAGGTCTCCCTTTTACATTTTTTTAAAATTGGCCATAACAAGAGTTATGGAGCAGAAGATTGTGCCTGTCTTAGGTTGTTTCTCTCGTAAGATATAGTCTTACCTGTCATGGGTACATAAATTCCATCATTCATGCCCTGTCTTGGGTTGAATAAATCCCAAAGAAACATTACCCATCTCTTACTACCAACCTCTGCTAGGGTAGACACTGCAGATCAGTTCAGCTTTTAACATTCTAAAAGGCCTTCAGGCAGGTTTTACTTGCCGCCATAGGAGTGCATCTCCTATTACAAGCCAAGGCCAAAGTAACACTCCATAAAAGTGACTTAACAAGTGACTCCTTGTGTAAATTACTAAGTCTGAGAAATTCACAGGAACCAGAGTAAAAGGCTCTCGAGCAATCAGAACCATTTGAAAGCTTACAAATAGTTTGTTAGTTTACCTTGAAGGCAAGAAACATTAAGGTTTGAATCTTGTTAACATTTCCAAACAACAAAGCAAAAGGAGAATTTACATAGGCAGTTACAGGGCCTCCCAAGAGTTTCTGAAGCAAGCTTGTTTTGGTCTGCTGAAAACCAGAGTCAGACCAAAGTTTCACAGTTAGTCCTCTTTTTTATTCTTTTTTATTTTGTTGAGAATTGTCCTTATTAACAGAACAATCAAGTCCAGTCCATTGTATAAGAGATTTCTCTTCATGACGTCTTCTCCCAGGAGCAGAATGAAACAAAAGCTGGTCAGGAACTTAAGTCCAATGCAGCTTTTCGGTCTCGGTCAGGGCAGAATTTACGATTGTCTGCAGCCGGAACATCCTCCTGGGGAACAACTCCTGCAAATCGTACCAGCCTCTCTGGGATCCACCTGGCTTCTTCTGTGTCCTGTGGAAAAAGCACAAACATGCCCTCTTCCCCATATTAATATGGGGTTGGGGCCCTACCATATTCCAGCAATTGGATCTTTCCATTTTACCTGGGCATAATCATTCTTGGTATTAGGATGCCACAATCAATCAGCTGCAGAACGGCCTTGTATATCCACGTTCAAAAAATTTAAAATAAAGGGAGCATTAAGATTTGGGGATATGACTCCCCCTTTTATTTTTTGTAATTGGTTTTTAAGAGATCCATGGGCAGGCTCTATAATTTTTTAGCCTTAAGGATTATATGGCATACCTGTTTTATTATTTTTAAAAATGTTGAGAAGCTTGACTAATATATGTAGTACCATTATTAGTCTTTATAATGGAAGAAATACCAATTGTAGCAAAACATTTTAGTTTTTTAAATTTTGGGATATGAGTAATGTTAATTTGTTGTTTAGAATAGTTTTAACCCTAGGTTTTAAGTAAGTTAACTTTATGTTACAGATTTTAAACATAGCCAATGACCAATAATCTATAACCAAGTCCTACTGAATATGGTAAACTTATATCATCAAGACAGACAGACAAAACATCATGTTATTTGTTGAATTTAAATTTTTATGACCATTGAAGCTTTGTAGCAGAATTAACTATTAGCTTTCTTACTGGAAAAACTGAGAAGCTGCCTCTTTAATAGTTTTTCCTTGTAGGGTTGTAGCCATAGCTACTCCTTGAGTATAAGACGGCCCGATGTCAGAGCATAACCTAATATATTCAGAGATATCTCCTTTCTTTCTAAAGGGTCTCAAAGCTGCTTGGTAAGCACTGTTAGCATTCTCATAAGCCAATTGTTTTACCAATAATAATACAGACTTTTCATCACTTACAAGTCTGTTTGCTGTTTGCATTAATCTTGCCACAAAATCTTGAAATAACTCATCAGGTCCCTGACAGATTTTAAACAAATCCTCCACCTGTCTACCTGCTTGTGGAAGTTTATTCCAGGCCCTACGGGCAGCAGTATACCTGAGCATAAACGGCCACATCAAAATCCAATTGTCCTATTTCTCTGTAGATTCCTTCTCCAGCAAGCATGTCATAAGTTATAGGAATTCCCTGAGCTCGATTAAGTTCAGCTGTAGCTTGACAATGCTCTGCAAATTCTGACTTCCATAATAAATGATCTCCTCCTGATCAGTACGCTCTTGTTAACTGTTTCCAGTTCCATGGGCAGAGGGCCTCAGTAGACAAGGACTCCAACAGAGCCTGAGTGAAGGCGCTGTAGGACCATATTGAGAGCATGCAGATTTTAATTCTTTTATTTGTTTAAAAGGTATAGGAGCATGGACTCTTGCCATATTACCCTGTCCTTCAGGTTGCTCCAGAACCGGAAAACCATAAAACTCACTTATATCTTCTCCATTTTGCCTAGCTTCTTGTAAAGAAGCTTGTAAAGGGGATACAGTTGCACGTACAGTGGACAAAGGAAAATATCCCCTTGTCTTCTGAGCCACTGCAACTGTAGCAGTCCCAGGAGGAGGGTCCAAACCTACAACCAATGATGGAGTTGGAGTCAGGGATTGAGCCTCATTTTCCCTAGCAGTTAATTCTCCAATTTTTCTGTTTATTTCCTCCAAGCCCCATTCCAGTCTTTTAATTTCTTTTTGCCAAGGCTTATGCTTTTTAACATGCATAGCCTGAATTGGAGGTTATCTCTCAGAATAATACTGATCTGGTTCTTTCTCCAACTCTGTAACCTCATTAGGATGTAAGTTTTCCTCCTCAAAGTCTCCTTCTGGCAAGAAATTACTGTCATCAGGAGGGAAATATAACTCCTCTGGAGGAGCTGATGGTTTAATATCATTTTCTCTTGAAGCCTGCCATCTTTCTAACCTCCTTCTCTCTGAGCCTGAAAGTTTAACTTTCTTAGTTTCCTGATGCTTATACAGACTATCTTTAATTAAGTTCCATACGAAAAACACTAGGCTAATGCTTTGTCCCATTTTTAGTCTCAGATTTACTCACCAAGCCCTTTCTACTTAATGATTCAAGCTCACCAACAACCGCGGTGTCCTTCACTGATTCCCTGTATCTCAAGTCCCACGTCTGGGCGCCAGTCTGCCGGAGCCCACCAGCAGAGTCGAATGGTTCTTGAGTTGGGAGTGAGGATTAAAATTAATAAACTAACACACAACACACATGGGACTTTTCCGAGAAGGCCCGGACTCGACCAGCCAGCAGCAGCCTGACTTTATTGCAGTGAGCTTCTAAGCCAGAGTAAAAACAGCTCAGAACAATGGGTTAAATTTACAAGGAGGTGAAGAAAGCGGTGAGATCTTCACAAGCTATCTCACCTGCTGTCACAAACAAAAGGAGATGGACTTGCAAATTCTTCCCTGACTTCAGTGAAGGCCTTGTAAAAGCAATCTTTCTGCTGAGATTTAAATATCAAAG